CAGTTCTCTGAAGGATACTCAAAACAGCCTGACAGTCCTGCTAAATTTCCCTAATATGTTCATTCTTTCACTCTCCAAAGTGACCATTCATACCTTGTCCTCTCTCCCTAAACCACTCTCAGCTGGTATCTTTGCTTCATTCTTCATTGAGAAAATGTCATGGGGGGGGGGGACTCCTTCTTAGCGCCGAATGCAGAGCCTGTCCTTATCTGCACCCACTGTTTCTACCTTATATCATACAGCTCACTGCCACATATGTCAGTTGCTCCCCTCTGCTGCCTCATTTCCATTAGCATAAAAGCACACCTTATGTTCTTCGTTGAATCTTTCCTCCTGTCCTTAATTCCACACCCACCACTAGCTAAAGTCCTATTTCTCTGCTCTCCGAAAGCAAAACCTCTTGAAAGAGTTATCTGCCCACCTGTTTCCTCTCGCATATCCTGTTCTCTCCACCTGCCTCACTGGGCCTCTGCCCTGTCCTGCCACCGAACCAGTGCTTGTCAAAATCACCAACAATCCCCCATTGCCAAACCCAGTGATTCCTTTCCTATCTTCATCTTACTCGGGCTTTCAGCAGCTTCTATCACAGTTGAGCTCTCCCTCTTTCTTCAAACTCACCTCTGTGCTGTTTCACTCAGTCTCCCTGGTGACTTCTCCTGCCCTATTTCTAAACCTTCCTCATCTCTTTCTATACTTTCACCTTTGGGGCATCTTACCCAGCTTTTAAGTACCATGCCTTTGACATTCAAATTCATATCTCTTCCCTTGACTCCTCCACTGAACTCCAGACTTATTTATCTACATGCCTACCTAGCAGGCATTTCCTCCAGAATATTGTGGCAGTTTTCTATAGGTGCTGTAACAAATTATCACAGACCTGGTGGCTTAAAACAACACCTGTTTGTTATCTCACGGGGCTTGTGGGTCAGAAGTCTGGGCACAGCATTACTCAGCTGTGTTCTCTGCTTAGGGTTTCACCCAGCTGAAGTCAAAATGAAAGCAGTGAAGTCAGATGAAATCAAAATCAAGTCAGAATGTGTATGCTGATCTGGAGGCCTCCAGGCTCCTTCAGGTTGTTGGCAGAATCCCAGGCAGTTCTAGGGCAGATGTCCCTGTGGCTGGGGCTCATTCTTGGTTTCGGAAGGCTTCTTGGCTTGTGGCCCACTCCATCTTCAAAGCCAGCAACGGTGCATAAACCCTTGTGCTTCGAATCTCTCTACCTTCCTCCTCTGTTTTTAGAGGATTCCTGTGATTACAGTGGGCCCACCCGGATAAGACAGGATAATTTCCCTATCTTGAAGTCAGTGATTAGTAATTTCACTTACATCTGCAAAGTCCGTTTTGCCATGTAATGTAAAATATTCATGGGAAACTAGGGAGGAAAGGTCATGAGGCCAAGTTTCTTCCTACCACAGATATCTAAGAATCTCAAACTGATCATTTCTGAGACAGGAGCTCTTGACTCTGCCCCAGACCTGTTTCTCTACTTGTTTCGTTTTTTGTTTCATTTTCCACCTCAGCTCCTGCTGTTCAGTTCAGAATCCTAGGAATCATCCTTGATTTCTTTATTCTTCTTATACTCCCCCATCTCATCTCTCAGCAGATCTTTTTGGCTCTAGCTCCAAAATATATCCCAGACCCTTCTGCTGTGTTTCATCCTTACTCCTGCCGGGCTGGTGCGGACAGCTGTTGGCTCTCATCTGAACACCTGCAGTGGCTCCTGTGATTCCTCCCTCTGCCTCCCTCTTCTCCTCTTGCCCTTCACAGCAGCCAGAGTGATCTTTTCAAGACTTAGATCTTATCACTCCCCTCTCAGAAAACCCTTACAGGGCTTCTGATTGCATTTAAAAGTCACGCTCTTCATCGTGACCTACTAGGCTTTGTGTGCTCTGCCTCGGCTGTCCCTAGTCCTGCTCTTTCCTTTGCTCCCTGCCCTCCAGCCCCCTGGCCTTCGTGCTGTTCCTGGAGCTGCCCAGCCTCTACCCACTTCCCTGACCACCCGACCTGAGTGTCCCTCTCCTTTCTCATCACTCTCTCGTCACTCTTTTATTTTTTTCATAGAACTTATTTCCTCTGGAAGTACCTTGTACATTATTTACTTGTATATTCTTTTTGTTTCCCACTGTGGAACATAAGCCCTACGAGAGCCAGAAATCAGCCTTGTATAGACTGTATCCCTAGTGTGGGACATAGTAGGCTCTTGGATAAATGAATGAATGGTGTGTTTTTTAATTATGAAAGTAATATATGTTAATTATAATTATAGAATAACTCACAAATCATGTAATCCTCACCTTTCAGAGATAGCAACTTGTTCATATTTAGCAGAACGTGATCCTTCTAGTTTTACTACACAGGTACTGTGTATCTGTTTTTGCCCTTTTGGATAATGTGAGTAATCTTTATGACCCTGAATATTCTTTTACAGCATGATCTTTGGTAGCCTTTGGTAGGCTTGCAGCAGTCTATTCTTTAGAAGCAGCATAGGGAGGTTATTTGTTTTTAGTGTGCATTTAGGTTCCTTTTAAACAAACATCTTTGAACATATACCGTTTTTTGCATATTTTTTATCTTATGAAAACTTCAGAAGCATATTTATTAGTTCAGAGTATAGACATTTTCAGGACCTTTTAAAAATATATATATTGCCAAAGAGCCTTACCAAAGGATATAGCAGTCAAGTCCCCCTCAGCAGAGTATAGGAGAGCTCATTTTGAAAAGTATTTGCCAACTTAAAAGGTAGAAGATGGTATATTGTTTTCAGTTTGCATTTGTTTAATAACTAGTACAGTTGAGTTTATGTATGTTCATTGTCTACTTGTTTCTTTTAAAAATTGCATGTTTTTCTTTTTCTGTGAGGGTGTTGATCTTCGTTCTTCTTACATTTAATTGGTGTTTATTTCAACGTACAGTGTGAGTAGGGATCTAATGTCACTGTCCACTCCCCCACAATGGTTAAACAGTACTGTTTATTGAATAGTGTCCCTTTCCATTACTGATTTCAGAGGCCACTTTATCACGAACTTAATTTAATATTAAGGTCAACAAACATTCTAGTTTCCAAGTTAAAATTTTTGGCTAATTAAAAAGAATTGTTATATTCAAGCCTGACCTATTTAAATACAGTGCATAATAAAACTGGTTAGTGTTTAACCTGTTTGGATGGAGTTTGAAAGGCGCATATTCTTTTTTCCTTTAGAGCATGATTGATTACAAAAGTAGATAGTCATTTTGCCCTCTTGTTATCTGCAACTGCAGAGAACCTACCTGTTTTAAGCTTTTATCTGTGTCCAAAGTACTGCTGTCTTCCAGAAGGTGATAGCCTTATTTGCAGTCAAAAGTAGCCAGGAAAATTCTCAGGCTCATCAGGGCTGGCCTTAGATTCCAAGCTTAGTATGTGACCATAAATACTATGGATATATTTTAAGTTATAAAAACAGCAGGACATTCAAGAAGTCTCCATTATGATCCTTGGAAGGAATATCCTTTATTTGGTTATGTTTTTCAATCTTACATTTTATTATACTTGCTAAAAATTAAAGGAAGCTATTAGTAAGCTTAATAAAAAAGAAACTCCTTGAAAACGTGGCTGAAAAACGGAAAGCTTCTTTAGATAGTATTAAGATATTTTGGGGTACTGCATAGCATGAATTATTGTGCCATTAAGGCCATTCAAGAAGCATAAAGAATATAATTACTATAAAAGCAGTATGTTTACTTTCACATTGTGTTAAGAGGGTGAAAATTGGGGCAGTAATGCCTGTATCATTTAGTACTTTGATGTTTTCACTCAACAAATGGAAAAAAGGCTCCAAATATATTGATCATATAAACACATCCCTTTTATATATTACTTTTAGCCTAAAAGGTAAGTGCTGTTTTAATGGAATGCTTCCTGTCAAAATATATAACTGGAATACATGTTTGATGTACCGTATTTCATTTATGCTTCTGCCAAAGTGACCAAATAGCCCAATGAGAACAATGTTGCTAATTTCAGATTTTTCTGTGTTTCACTATAGCTGTTGGAAGGAAATTGATTTTATGATAATGTTATCCTGTTTCAAAAGCAGTCATTTCTATTGTGCTGTCTTTTTGGTTCTGTGCTCATTTTCAGAAAGAGGTTATTATTTATATTGTGGAAGCCTGCCCCAGACTTGAATATACAAGGGATCGGAGATGAGAATGGAAAGAAGGAAATGAGGGGAAGGAGTGAAGGATGCTAGGGAGGGGACAGTGCAGAGTGGGAAGGATGGCTCATGAGGCGGCTTCAGTGCTTATCATCATTTTTACCCAAATATAATTGGGAAAAAGAAGAGATACAGCATATATATATATGTAGTCAATTTTATTAGTTCATATTACCTTTGAAAAGGTAATTTTGGAGTGGTTGAATGGTTAGAATGAGGCTGTTTTCCATGTGCTCAATCTGCCTTCATTATCAAACACAGCTGTAGGAGACAGAAAATGTAAACATTGTCTCTGCTAAAGAAATGGAGAATGTCTTTTCATGGATTAAAAGCAGAAACTTGGAAGCTGACTTGTTCCAGGTTGTGCAACAGAATATGGGTAGAACTTGGGTCACTTTATTTGTGTCTGACATCTCTACTAGTCTTTGCAATAAAGTGAAGATGCCGTTTGTTTTAGGTAAACTAACACACAGTGAGAATGTTTTCTAAAAATACAATCACTAAGGTACTTGGCAGTTCTTGAGGATTTTTAAGAGTCTCTCAAAATTCAAGAAGCAGTTTATGTTCACTATCCTCTGTGTTATGAGAGGTACAGAGTAAAAAGGAAACATTGTGAAGCAAGATTTTAATTCTCAAAATCTTGGCTGTTTTAGATTTTGTGTATGTGTGTGACTTTTGAAGTATAAATGCTATTATTTTCAGAGGTATGTTCTATGAAATCACAGTTGTACCATTATCCTCCTAAGAGAACATTCCCGAGTTGTTTATGTCAGTAATGGATTTCCTGAAATACATATTTTTGCTTTTTAGATGCCGATAGACAAGATTCCATTAATCTCTTCCTGGGAGTTTTCCATCCCACTGAAGGGAAACCTCATCTCTGGGAACTCCCGACAGATTTTTATTTGCATCATAAAAATACCATGAGACTTTTACCAACAAGAAGAAGGTATTTTTTTTTTTCCTAGTCTACTATGTAAACTCAGATTTGATGTTATTATGAATGTGAGATAGTTTTCTTTTTGAGAAATGGTCGTATAGGCTAAAGTAGTCAGTCTTGCTACATGTTTGCCATGAGGAATTTAGTATTGTTGATGTCCTGATAGTAGGTTTGGGAAATCATCATTAACAAATGCAGTTGTTTGGCATTTTCCATAAGATACAAAGTTTCAGAACTTAACCATTGAATGTAATTTGAAGCTACACTCGAGCAAACCATTAACATCATTTTTGACTGGTTCCCACAAATGTGGAATGATAAAGAACTCAACATTTCAGGAGTCAATCTTAGACATCCTCACTTTGGAATTCCAACTGTCTTTCCTCCAAGAAGCACAAGGAACTCTTGGTGACACTAGGGAGGACAGGAAACTAGAGCGGTGGCGCTAGGGGCTGATACCACTCCCACCACCCTTACTGCTCACTCTGAGCTTTCTAGAGTCATTCACCAGTATCGGTTATTTTGATGACAGTTAAATTGGTAGTAATAGTCCCCAAAGAAATGAACTGTTTCCCTGAGGTGTTTTGACAGGACGCCCTGTAGCCCAGGCCTCAGGGTCAGGTAGAATTGGAGTCTCTGCAGTGGTGTGACCTTGAACTAGTTATTTCATCTCTCTAAGCCTCATTTTCCTCATGTACAAAAAGTAAATGACAGGACACACATCACAAAGTCATTGTGAGGATTTAATAGAGGACTCTAACATTTTTAATTGAAGAGTCATGTACTAATAATGGGCAGCATTTTTCACATACGAGGCTGGAGCCTGGTACCTTCTGCTCAAAGGCCTGTGATGTCAGGTTTGCTCCTAACGCTTGCTTTCCTCTCACAAGATCGGTGTGATATAGTCCTTATTTTGTGCAGAGATGCCTCTCGAGCACTACAGGGGTCATTGCCAGTCTGGGCTAATTGTGTGGACAGACCACAAACAACTGATGAATTAGCAAGTGCTGATGTTACAGCTGTTACCAAATTCTGTGATACTTCAGGAATATTTAAAATATTAAGGAAATGTCAGAGTTTATATGTTTCTCAGCTTTGTACTTTTAAGTACATATATTATTGGAATAGCCAGCTTAATACTTGAGCTTACTTTCCCTATAAATGAAGCAGTTCTGGTTTTTCCACTACATTTAAGATTAATAAATGATTGCTTTGAATTTTTGCTGACAAAAAATCTGGAGCTAATTACGTTTATTTGATGAGAGATAAGTGTAAATACCTATATTTAGCTTTGTTGATGCAGCTGACTATGGGTAAATGTGGCTGACTTTCTAAAACTTTATATTAACTTAAAGTATTGAAGCTCTTAAGATACAACTTGGGAACAAACAAAACTCGATTTTCTGTTGCTGAAATTAGCTAGTAAATTACGAGCGAAAGTTAAAACCACTTGCTTACCTTGAGTAACCACTTGCAGTGTTGGCGCTTATTTGTGGGAATAAAAGGAAGCTGATGTTACATTCCCATTAAAAAAAAAAAAAGGAAACTGAAGTGCAGAGAGGATGTGTCTTGACTGAGATTATTCAGCTGGTTAGATGGTACAGCAAGGATCAGCTAGAAGTCTCTCACTGAAAATAAACTTTTATCAAAGTAGATACTATGTCTCTCACAGTTGACTTGGTCTCCTGGTTTGTTTGGGTTTTTTTCTCTAGAATGTCAAAATTCCAAAAATTGGTTTTTGGCATCAACAATTGATACTCCTCATCCACAGTACTTATAAAGACTGTCAGATAAATTTCAGGGCTTTATTTTGGACTTTATACCAGTTATTTTGATGACAGTTAAATCAGTATTATAATTCTCAGAAGGAATGAACAGTTTAGCCAGAGGCAGTAACCAGACAGGAGCATGGACGTCAGGGTAGAGCTGAGTTGGAATTTCTGCAAGTGTGTTACATCTGGAAAACTTGTTTTCTAAACATCTGGAAAACTTGTTTTCCCAACTGTAAAATGAAGACGACCATACACACCTCACAGGTCATTTTGAGGATTAAATGAGAAAATGGGCGGGAAGTACGTAGTACTGGGTCTGACACACAATCAACACAGTCCTGAAGCAGCCAGGTTCTGGAGAGACTGCCTGCGGTTAATACCTGTGTGACCAGAGGCAAGGTCCAGTTCTCAGTTTCCACATCAGCAAAATAGAGATAATGGTAGTGTCTGATGTGTAGGTTTTTCTGAGAATCAGATGAGATCATATAAATCCTTAGCACATAGTAAGTCCAACAGGTGTTTGTATTGTTATTATTTTTTAAAGGGATTACATTCCCTAGTTGTAACATTTATTAAAAATCATATAGGATGGCCATAAAATCTAGAAACTTAGATAATATTTTATCACTTATTATAACATAATATCAATGAACACTTTATTATGTATTCGCTTGTGTTTCCAGACTTGGTGACCATCATGTATTTTATACTGTGTTTACCAATGATTTATTCTGAAACAACATTTTTATTGAATAATAAGGGAAGGGGGAATAAACCTAGCTCTGCCTAAAGTTTGTCCAAACCAATCCTCTTGAGGTAACTACTTTTGTGACTCAAAACCCCATGTTTATTGATCTGTTCAAAACCACTGATTGAAGCTTTGTTCTGAAATAGGTTAATATGTCATATATCATCTCAGATGCCATTTATTGAATGAGTGTTGATAATGTCACCAAGATATTTTTAGACTTTAAGCATTAATTATCTCATTGACTCAGAGTTGGGAGGTTTCCTGGCTCTATTCTCTGTCTGATATGTGAGTTCCCTCTGTGTATTCCCAGACTATGCTTGTCTGGCCCTGGTTTGTCAACAGGGGCATGTCTGGTTGAGAGGTAGTTGTTTTCGGACAGTTCACTTACATGATTCTTCCTCATATCATGCCGATATCTGCTTCTCTATAACTTTACCTAGTAATCTTAGTTCAACCCCTGAGACCTTGAGAACACAATTTCCTCATCCACTTGATAGTCTCTTAAATAGATGAAGACAAGTTCACATGTTCTCAAAATCTCTTCTTCTCCAGGTTAAAAATGGCTCCACTTTCTTAGCTGTTTCTCCTATACTGTAGTTCTAAGTCTGTTTAGCATTCGGAAGGTGCTCTTCTGTATTCCAGCCGATGTCAGTGCTCTTTTTAAACTCTGGTATCCAGACCTGGGTCCAATAGTAGTCAGAGTTTGGTCCGATTTGTGCCAGCTGTTATGGGACCATTGGTACCATTATTCCCCTTGTCCTGGATAATCTATTTTTTAATCATTAAGTGTAAGATTACATTAACTATTTTCAGTAATGCCATTGTAATGTTAATTCCTTGGGCTTCCTATCCATTGGGACTCCCAAGTCTTTTTAACATGTCCTACTGCCACGCCTTATCTGTGCCATCTTGTCATGCTTGTATATGCTTTGCCTGCTTCCAAAAAAAGTATGTAAATATATATCCTTTTTATTAACTCTTTCCTCGAGTTTTGTAGCTTCTTCAGAATTAATCAGCTGGCCATCTTGATCCTACAAGTCCTTGATGACGTAGGGTAAGTCCTTGAATAGAGTAGGGTAGATGGCAGAGCCCTGTGGGATACCATCGCACAACTCCTTCCACCTTAACATTGTTTTGTGATGTTTGGTTGGAATCATTTAGACAGCTGTAACTTACTATGCTGTCAACGCTTGACTGTCCTGTCATCCTGCTCACATTTCTCTGTATTGTTCACATGTATCAATATCAACTTGGCTTTGCTCAAGTCCATATATATTATTTCAGAGGGCTCCCAAGTTTACTAGGGGAATTAAAGAGTCTTTTAAGATCTTCCTAACCTTTCTATGTGAGCCAGTGGAATTGAACACTCTTAATACTGGGGACTAAAAAAGAGAAAAGAAGCTGACTTACTAGGTATTTATGCAAAGGAGGAAGTGGCACCAACCTGCACTCTCCTGTCCTCTGATACCTGGTCCCAAAGCAGATTTCTGTCCCAGTGCAGGTGCTCTTCCTCTGGGTGAAAGTGCCTGGTGGGTCGGGTGGTGAAGGTCCCCCAGTCCTGGGTTCAGTCCTCTTAGATGCCCTCCTCGTTCATCCATCTCAGCCCAGCTTCCCCAGGGCAGGTATTTCTTTGGGCTTCTTTGCTTGAGACCCACTCAGAAGAGTTGGACCTTTATTATTTATTTGTTTGTTTGTTTATGCCTCACCGTGCAGTATGTAAGATCTTAGTTCCCTGACCAGGGATTGAACCTGTGCCCCCTGCACTGGAAGCATGGAGGCTTAACCACTGGGCCATCAGGGAAGTCCCAGAGTTGGACTTTTAAAAAAGTATTGTTAAGTTGCTTTATCTTGCTTAGGGAGATACAGTCTAGTAATATTAAAAAAAAAAATTATGGCCTGGTCTCAAAGCACTAATACTAAAAAAAAGCACTAATTAAGATGATCCTCTTAATTCTTTTTCTCCACATGGTACATTCTGAGTTAAAACACGTTCTTCATAATGTTTACTTCTTTTTCCTAAGTAAGCTCATCGTGTGCACCATTTTTTAGGAAATTACTTAATGCAAGCAGATACATTCTCTTGCTCAAGTGCGAATTCTCTCTCTCTCTCTCTGACACACACACACACATCCATGTCTTTTTCATTCCCCTGATCCGATAGTCTGAATAGCCTGGTGTGGCTTGTTTTTGTGAATAGATGTGGATTCATAGAAGCCACTGGTCATCTTTTTAGGTTACTCACAGTATGTCTCCAGTAAATATTTGTTTCATTATCTCGCCTGCACTGACATCACACTTACCGCTGTACAGTTTTTGGAATCTTTCACCCTCTCACTTTTGAACATCAAGACTGCATTTGCCCATTCCCATTGTCAGTTCTGTTCTTCACTGTTTCTTAAAAGATTATTGATCTCAACTGTACCAGGACACTTGAGTGCTCTTAGAGAGGTTCTACTGCTTCCTTCCACCTCTTAGGCTATGCACAGTTCCCTCTTATCTTGTGTATTTCTCTTTCCAGCATGAAACTTACTATGCCTGGTGAAGATGGAAACAATACTGGAATTAAGTAGCTCTATACTCTCTGTCATTATTTTCAACATGGCATTTCTAACATATAGAGCAGTACTTGATACACAGTAGGTGCTTAATAAATGTTGAAAGACTGAATGAATTCTCTGTAAGCAGCAGACTTATCCCTTTTCTGTTCTTTTCATGCTTTTAAAGCCTTGCTATTCAAAAAGTAGTCTAAGGACCAGCCCCTTTGGCATCACTGGGAGCTTGTCATAAATGAAGATTCTCAGGCCCCACCTACTGAATCAGAATCTGCCTTTTCACAGGATCTCCAAGTGATTTTTGTGTGTACACTGATTTTGAGAAGCGCTGCTCTAAAGCATAACTTCAGTCTCAAGGCAAAACTTTAGGAGTCTTTGCTGTTATCATAGTACTACCCACCTTACCCCCACAGGTCACTAGGCTCCCCGGCTCTTTTGTTGATCATCCTTGGTCATGTATCTGCTTGCCATCTCTAGGAGAGTTCTCTACATTGCCTATTTCCTTTAAATACTCCCCATTCATCATAATTGGGGTTATTCCAGGTCGTAATGTCAACATTTTATTTTTAGAAAGCCTTTCATTTATTTTAAATGATCTTTTAGCATTTTTGGCTGTAGGCTCTTTTCTCTGAATCTTTTGAAAATCTGTTTTTTTTTTAAATTTGATATCCCATTTTACATCATTCCCCTTCCTAGCTCTCATTAGCTTTGATATAGCATTTTCCTCATAAATATCCATCTCATCAGAATTTGATTTAAAATTAAATTCAGTGTTCAGAGAAAAGGCAGTTCAGGATCCTTTCAGATTCTCTGAGTTTTCTAGCAGACCTCCAGATGACTGAAATTCCCAGCCTTACTCTGACTGGCCTCTATAATCAAGTAGTGAATGTTTACAGTTCAAGATTAACAGGGGCTATACTACTTTTTAAGGAAATTTGTTCTTTAGGCTTATCCATTTACTTAATGATTTTGCTGAACTGTTTAACCATATACACAGACCCAGACACATAGAGCAGAGTAGAAAAAGTAATCTAACTCTGAGATAACTACGCGCAGGAGAATCCTACTTGTAGGACTTGGGTCACAGTCCCGCTGCTCACCGGGGGGCAGGGTAATAAAGCAGGCACAGTCAACAGCAGCTCATAGAGTCTGGCTTAGTGTACCCGAATCATTTTTAGCTAAAAGTAGGTAACGTCACAGCACCTTGACTCTCAGACGTGTACATGGCATTTTTGTAGATCTGTGATGTAGTTGAAACAAGAAGGGGTTGGGAAAGGAAAGAACATGTTGAAGACCTACTGTGCCAAAAGCTTCACAGCCGTGTTTTTAAAAGCATCTTACTCTAGACCATACACCCTTTTATCCAGCGAATTGTAGAAAATCTACATTTACATTTGGGCCATCTTATCTCTTTTTTTTTTTTTTTTAATAGTTATACTTACTGGTGGACACCAGAGGTAATAAAACATTTACCACTGCCTTATGATGAAGGTAGGTATACTGTTTCTCTTTTAGTTTTTATACTAATATGTTTTGGAATTATTCTTAAATGAGCTTGATGCATTCAATTCTTTGCATATAATATTTTATTAGAAAGAAATGAGTGACTACTCGCTGTTACAATAGATAGGAGATTGTAACATCTTAGCTTTTTTAAAAAAAATTTTTATTGGAGTATAGTTGATTTATAATGTGTTAGTTTCAGGTGTACAGCAAGTGAATCAGTTAAATATACATCTGCTCTTTTTTTTTTAAGATTCTTTCCCCATATAGGCCATTACAGAGAATTGAGTAGAGTTCCCTGTGCTATATAGCAGTTATCTATTTTATATATAGTAGTGTGTATATGTCACTCCTAATCTCCCAATTTATCCCTCCCCCCTACTCCCCTGGTAACCACAAGTTTGTTTTCTACATCTGTGACTCTACTTCTGTTTTGTAAATAAGTTCATGTGTACCTTTTTTTTAAAATTCCACATATAAGTGATATCATATGGTATTTGTCTTTCTGTGTCTGACTTATTTCATTCAGTATGACAGTCTCTAGGTCCATCCATGCTGCTGCAAATGGCATTTGTTCTTTTTATGGCTGAGTAATATTCCATTGTATCTATGTACCCCATCTTCTTTATCCATTCCTCTGTTGATGGACATTTAGGTCACTTCCATGTCCTGGCTATTGTAAATAGTGCTGCAGTGAACATTGGGGTACAACATCTTAGCTTTTCTTTTTTTTTTTTCCATCAGAGGATAGCATTTTACTTTCAATCAGGATTCAAACCTAGTACAGAAACATTTATACCAAAAGGTAAATTTGTTCAAAAGGTAGAAATTTAATATAAAGATCATTTTGGAGGTTGTATACCCGACAGAGGAGCCACCAACTGCATCTGGAGTTCCTTACACGCGCTCTGTGTACCATTCATCACTGTCACGCTCTGAGGAGCTCCTAATCTGCCTCCTAAAACCTTCCTCCAGCCTCACAGAGGAGAGGAGTGAACTCCTCAGAGGGAACGCACTCAAGATTATAACTCCGGGCCACAGAATTTCCTCTGATCTTTCAGGAGGAAAACAGTAAATAGAATTAATTAATGAATTAATTAAAATTTTGAATTGCCTCCCCAAATTGCAAGCATTTATAGTTGGGAAGTTCTAATTTTTTTTTTTACATCTTTATTGGAGTATAATTGCTTTACAATGGTGTGTTAGTTTCTGCTTTATAACAAAGTGAATCAGTTAAGGGCAGAGATTGTGTTATACTTTTATCTAAGTAGCCTGATACGTTATATTGTATCTTACAGTTATTAGGTATGTCCCTCAAATGTTTAGTGTATATAATATATTAGTTCATCATTTAAAATTAGTACTTGATGTATGTCTAGATATTTGGGGGGAATGGGGAGGAAGTGAAGACCCATTCACAAGGAGAAATAAAAACTTTTCCTCTATCTAAGCAGTGAAAAAAAGTACAGATGTGGGTATAAAAGTACATTTTAGTCACTGAAGTTTAAATTATCTATTAATTTGTCAGAAAGGCAGGAAAATTTTTATATTAAAAGAATATAATTTGTTCCCAAATTAAATAATTGACCAGTTTGCAATAGAGTTTATTCTTGATTCTGTTACTGATTCCCCTGACCACGGGCAAGCCAGTTTTCCCAGTTGTGAAAGGATATTAAGATCTATTGCCAATCTGGAACATTCCAGTTGAGGACTCCATCTAGTCATGGTTGACCATCCCAACTTTGGGTGGTGAAGGCCATAAAGTAAAAAAGGTTGCAAATGACTTTCGGTTCTTAATAAATTATTAATTAACTTCTAAAAAGTATTTGTTACCTTGAAATTCTGGGCAAAATCATAACTCACATTGCTAAGATTTGGTTGTTCTGGGAAAAAGGATAGGACTTCAACAGCCTAATATGGCCCGTAAATAGGATTTGAAATATAAAGGAAAATTTAGTGAAATTGCATAATTTTTATCTAGAAGGCAGAGGGTATTTATTTAAGAGCAAAAAGGAATTTAAAGAACTGAATAATTGGATTTCTAAAATAATTCCCCACTCCTACCCCCCTTCCAGAGGTCCCCACCTCCTTAGAGTTTGTCACGCTCAGCTTTGCAGTATATATTCTGTGCACATATGTTGTTCCTCTTCCAAGTGTGAAAGTGCCAGAGGCAGGAGCTGAACTTGCTCAGTGTGCTCTGCTCTCTGTGAACACAGTTGATATTACAGAAATATTTGAGAGATGTAATCTAAAGGCTTTAAGAGTAACAGGCAGTATCTCTCTTAGTTATCTGTGCTGCGAACTTAAAGAAGTTGATAGTGAAGAAGTTTCACAAATACGAAGAGGAGATTGACATCCACAACGAATTTTTTCGACCATACGAGCTGAGTAGCTTTGATGACACCTTTTGCTTGGCTATGACGAGTTCAGCACGGTATGTTGTGAGTTCTCTGAAACTGGAAGAATTGGGGAGCTATAGTTTTCCTAGTTTGTACAGCTATATCTTACTTTACTCGGAATCTGTTCTGTAAGCCTGCTAGCAGGTGGTTGTCCAGCCTCTGAATTCCTTCTGCGATTGGGAGCCCGCTACTCAGGGGGCTGTCCTTCTACAGTTAGACAACTGGAGTTAAATTCTTCCTTAGATAAGTTGAAATCTGCCTCCCTTCGGTCCTAATTTTTCATTTGGAATAAACTCATCTTGTTAAGTTGAACTTAGAAATTGAGAGCCAGCATAAATTAGTGGACAAAAGGCATAGTCTTTGGTATTAGAAAGGCCGGAATGTGAATCTTAGACCAGCCATTGCCTACCTGTGTGACCTGGAGAAAATTATCCAACTTATGTGAGTCTGTTTCTTCACTTCATATAGAGAGGGGTGTGTATCACACAGACACACGTGCACCAAGTGCCTAACGTAGTACCTGGCACAGGTGGGTTACCAATAAATGGTGACTCTTATTATATTACTGTTTTTATTAGGCACAGGACAAGTCTAGTTCCTCTTCTGTGTGATAGCCCTCTAGATATTTGAGAAAGCAATATTAATTTTTTTCAGGGTAAATATCCTTCTTTCTTTCATAACTCATATGACATGGTTTGTAGACATCTCTCCACCTTTGAACATACTTCATTTTTCTGTCTCTTTTCGAGTTTGGCGGAGCCTTTTAGGAAGATGATGGTACTAGATTAAGAAAATTAGGCAAACAAAATCAGTTTTTGATCATTATGTTTTATACTAAAGTTTACATTTTTGTACTTACATTTTGTATTTTTCATTTACTTCAAATGTGATATATGTATGCCTAAACTTAACATGGTACATGTGGAAACATATTCCATGGTTTGTTTCCTAGAAATCACTCTACATTTTGCTTCAGTTTCAGATAGAAAGTTTGGAATTTTCACCTGCTTCATTTTCAGTTACCTTGTTAAAGTTTAGCAGTTGTAACTGTAAGGTTATTGTCATTTTTCAACTCAGCAAAAGGTGAATGATATTACTTATATGTGTATGTACAGATATACAATCGATTTTATTTATTGGCAGCAGTTAATGCTCTATAAAGTTCCTACAAATACTGAGTTAGAGAACACTGAACCACTGCTCTTAGGAGAAATACAGGGTTAGTTTCCTGAAAACATCTGGTCATAACATTTTCCTCAACCAATCAGTACGTAATCTTATTTTGTATGCTTCTGTTAAAGATACCTTGTATAATATATATTGTCAATTCATTAACGTTGATCTCACAACCAACAGCACTATAACTCATGCCTGAATGAAGCTTCTCTAACTGTTGTATTTTCTCTAAAACATACAACTTTCTTCTGCTTAGAAACACCAAGCAACTTCCGCACTATGCATGGGGGCCATTTTAGACAGTGAAATCTCCAAAAAGCACAAAAATGTGAAAAACATGGCACTAAATAGACTGTGAAAAGGACACTTGTTTTCAGTATGAGAGCTAAAGCAAGAAGGCAGAGTGTCACCTTGTTCTCCCTTGGTTGGGAATGTGAACGTTGGGTTACTCTAATTTTTCACTGCGCTGCACATGCGCTTGTCTGCGAGTGATCACAAAAGCTCTGAGTGTTGCCTTTGGGATTACAAATAAATTTTAGTGAGTAAGCAGATTCTCAAATATGGCATCCACAAATAATGAAGATGGACTGTGTATGTTCAAGAAGAAAGAAAGAAAAATTAAACCACTTGCATTTTGAAAACAACATTTTCAAACTGTTAAGTAGGCATTTTGAGTCAGATTCAATATTACTTTCTTTTCCTTCAAAAAATGTAATATTGAATCACACACTTGGAGAAGTATCCTTGCCAGAAGTTATGAGTCTTATCTGCATAAATCATGCAACTGTTGCCTTTTTGGCATCTGTTAAAGGGCTTCAGCGGTAATAGTAAAGTAGGCCCTGTATCGTGAGGAAGTAGCTTCAGCTTATCTCAGTAAGTGGTAAATTAACAGTTTCTATTTAAAGTGTTCCAACAGTGTTTTAATGAATTAACCCCAGCCTAATGAGGTAGGTGTTGATACTTCAATTCATACCACTGCGTTTTTGATCATCATGTCCGCCTCCTTAGGTGGTATTGTGTAATAAAAACATTGTCCATAAAACTGAGCAGCTAAGTGTCTTGCCATTGGTTTTATGAGTTTAATTTTACCCGAAAACGAATTCGTGATATACAACCAGAGGGTATGCATCTTAGCAGTAATTCAGATACCAACTCTCCTCCAGTAAACAAAATCTTAAATTCAAAACTATTGGGTTTCTTAATCAGAGAAAATTCACAGTGAGGACTGCTAACATTGAAGTTACTGAGTACCATTAGTTCATGGGGTTTTATGGCCCAGATTACCTAAACTCCCCTGATTATTTGGCTTAGAATATATATACCTCCTAGGGCTAAGAAGGAATCGTGTAAGAATGTGAATTGAGATGCAAGTAGACAGTCCTCTGGATGGACAGTGATTCACATGGAATTTTTTTCCCCTTTCTTCAGTGACTTCATGCCTAAGACTTTTGGCATTGATCCAAGTCCGTTTACAGTGCGTAAGCCAGATGAAACCGGAAAATCAGTATTGGGGTAAGATTTGCATATAGAATGAAATTTTAAAGATTCATGTAAAATAATATAGCGCTTACAATATAATTTCCACCAAAAACTAATAACTTCAAGTCACATAGTTTGGAGCAGTCCATTCACTGCATCTATACAGGTAGCTTTTTTATAGCACTGGAATCATTAAAAAGCGTTAGACACTGAAAGTATAATTCACGGGAATTCCAGCAACACGATGCATTTTACTATTTTAAATCAGGAGTTTCACAGATGGCATAAAGGCAGGTAGCAGATATTATGTATGTCCTTTAATAACTCAGTATCCTGTTTCCCACAACATAAAATACTTAGGTAAAAATTTATATTAGTTGTATTTATTTTCGTTGGCATCCTGAGGCAACATTAAAGCAAATGCTCAGAGGACTTAATAGATTTTCTGTGTATTACTGTAACATTGTTTTGGGGATGACTGTTATTATATGCAATAATATGAGGAAGAGAACAAACCACGTTTACAGTCTTTATGCTTTGAGACTGGAATGAAATGTGTTCTAGCGTAAGAATCTCTGTTACTGCCACTGACCTGAATAATCCCAGTGATAAGATTTCTCCTAGGCCCTGGGCAGAAACCCTGGCCAGCCTGTAGATTCTGAGTCCTAATTGTATTTGGGAGTGTGTACAGGGGCCTAATTGGATTCTAGCTACGTGTGATTTATACAATGAGATATATATTACTGTTTTCCAGATACACCATTTATGTGGCTTAAATATGTGGCCTTAAATAGCTGCATGTTAAGCCCTGGACCAGATGCTAAGAGGAATTTAAAAGAAGGTTAACATCCTCAGGACATTTAGAATTTAAGGAGTTCCTGGGACAAATATGTAAATGATCAGCTCTATTAGTGTATAGTACTGAAATGTATCAACTTTAATTTTTAGTTGCAGAAAGTCAGAAATGAATTTATTTTCTGTAATATCTAACCCGTGGTTAGATAGTATTGCATGTTTCTTTACTAGAAAATGCAGAATATTATGGTATTTTAAGTCCCTTGCAGAAAATTTTTTAAAGTAAGAGTAAAATATTAAATATATTAAATATTTTTCATAAACACCAAAAATATTACCATAAAATGTTTTCTGAATTAAAACAACATTCTTACTACTCTCAAATTTGGCACTAAAATAGAAGTAAATAAGTGTGGGCTTTTTCTATGTTTTTCCCCCCATCTACTCCCTATTATTAGAAGCAATGTTCAGAAAATATAGTTATTTAGTAATAAAACAATTTAAAATCTTAGTTTATATTCATCATTTGCTCATTACTTTGGTACAAGTAATCAGCTGCCACTGTGATTGCTAAAAATTCATAGGAGGGACAGAAATATACATGGATTTGGCTATCGACCCTTTCTTGAAGCTTCTACAAATTGTAGGTAATTTTACTAATATCTCAAACATAATAGTCTTCTATTATGGTATTATAAATTTTGAAAATACTGATTTCACTTACCAAAGGAAGACACAGTAGCCAAGTGGAGAAAAGATTTTTCTGCACACTACAAGCACATACTTGTTTATTTTCTGAATTTATAACAAAGCTTAAATTCATATAAGGTCAGCACGTACATGATAAAATATTAAACTTTTCCCTTTAGCACAACTTGAATCCAGAAGCTGGCTCCTCACGGTCATTTTCTTATGCTTCACCAGGACTAAGGCTTTGGGACACAGCGATACACAGTAAGCGTTGAGGGTTCGGTTTACAGATGGTTCACATCCGTATTCATCTTTTTAAAGAAACAAGAGCAACAGAGAAGAAGCTGTGTTACAGCGGAAAACGGCCGCCAGTGCCCCACCGCCGCCCAGCGAGGAGGCCGTGTCCAGCAGCTCTGAGGACGACTCCGGGACCGACCGGGAGGAGGAGGGCTCCGTGTCCCAGCGCTCCACGCCAGTGAAGATGACTGACACGGGCGACAGTGCCAAAGTGACGGAGGTCAGGGGCCGAGGAGAGTGTGCAGTCCGGCATGAGGCTCATCTCCAAAATCCCACTTTCAGTTAAAAGGCTGAGAGCAAGAAAAAGTCACATTACCTCACTCATACCTTTCTAATGCACAGTGTTGCAGGCACTGCAGAGATGAATACATTTGACAAAGACATTACTGAAAATGGTTTCTGAAACTGGTGTTTTTGCTTCCATGTGTAACAGTAAATTTCTTGTCACTTCAGAATTCTTAAGAGAATCCTGTCCCTCTTTGAGCAGCCCATCCACTTATTACTTTGGTACATTAGCCCATCCGTTTATTCCCTTGCTCAGCACATAGTTGGAATGCAGGGTTTGAATCTAGGCCTCACAATCTTTGCATAACCCCAGTGGGAAGTTCATCCTGTTCAATTTGACATTACCAATAAATTGAGGGGAAACAAAAGGCAAGTAAACCACAGAAGAACCAAATTTAGCTTTTGGGAAATTTGCTTTCTAGAAATGGCCAAAAGTCATTAAAGCTAGACGCGTTGCCATGGGTTGAGGTTGGCAAACGACAACCTATTGGCCAAAACATCCTGCTGCCTGTTTTTGTAAATAAAGTTTTATTTACAACCAGCCATACCTATTTGTTTATATATTGTCTATGGCTGCTCTTGCCCTATAACAGCAACAGAGTTGAGTAGTTATGGCAGAGACAGTATGACCCAAAGAACCTAAAATATTTACTGTCTGGCCCTTTACAGAAAATGTTTGCCAACTTCTGCACTATACAAAAGCAATTAGTAATTACCTAATAGTTTTTTACCCTAAAATAAACTATTTTAGTGAAAATGAAGTCAGATTTTAAAAAACCATTAACTGAGAAATTTAATGAACCAGGTTGAAGAAACATTGTGATTGCCTTTTTGGGGAAATTCACAGGTTCATTTTCTTCATCTTTGGAAATTATTAAGATTCTAGATGTCTAAAACTTCTTCCTGGTTCCCTTTTCTTTTGACCCCAGAATGTGGTCCAGCCCATGAAAGAGGTGTATGGAATCAACCTCTCAGATGGCCTCTCAGAAGAAGATCTCTCCATTTATTTAAGGTAAAGTATTTTCATGAGAGATTAAGGACAAATGCAAATGTAATAAAATACCTTATATCTAGTGTAACGTTTAAAAATTGAAAATAGTCAACAATACAGAAGGAAATGAATTCCACTTGGAATAAAATAGTAGCATTTAGGTCAAATTCTGAAACAATTTATATTTGGAGTTAAAAGGCCTACTTACTGCCTGAGACTCTCAGGGCCCCTCAGTGATAAAAATTTATGATGCTTACATGTATTTTCACTGCCCATAAGCTGCAAACTGAAGTTTAAATACATTCCTGCATTAACAAATCCTCAAGATCAAGTACCTTCTTACAGAATGAACTTGGGATACAGATAGCTGAGGACCTTGTATTCCCTTCAGCTCGGGGTTGGGGTGGAGAGCTGCTGGTGGGAGTGGAGGCTGAGGAGGGAGAAGGAAGCAGTGATGTAGGGGCACCAATGCAGAATGTTATCGACCTTTATTGGGAAGACCTGGCTAAAAGGTGGCGATCTGCCAAAAGGTATTCCCTGAAATCACATATATAATTTTGTGTGTCTGTGTGCGCTTGCAAAGATTCATAGTTATCAGATTCTCAAAAGAACTCCTCGCCTAGAAATCCTTAAAACCCTGACGAGACCACTGTAAACGCCCCCTCAACCTAATGTATGCGTTAAGAAGACTTAATTATTGCAAGTGAACATGTACCCACTTCATCTAAGTTTGGCTTATGTAAACTGTAATATAAATGAGCACTAACCTCCAGGTCTTTTTTAAGGAGGGTATTTGTTTTGCAGAATCCATTGAACTGGATATTTTCAGCTCTCTGCTTCAAACTAGTAAGATCTGCTGTGGAATATGTGAAATATAAAAATGTATGGCATTTCTTGACTACAGAAGCACTGGTATGACTGTGCATCACTGTCTTACTGGAAGCCAGTTGAGTCGTTCAGAACTCAGCCACACCCTCCTCACTCCTGGATACACAGACATGCAGTGACATTCATACAGCTGTCACACTCCGTAGCTCAACTCTTTAGGAGTTAGTTGAAGTGGGCCTTCATAAGCAGCATGATCTGGAAGAATGATTTATCTGGGGTTAGTGACTGAGTAATATGACTTTATTGCAGAGAGCATAAGTGTACATGTCAAGGCTGTTCACTTGCTGAAGATAAAAGTTTGGATAAGAGTAATCTAATTTAAAAGTTTTTCATAGTGCTGTACTGATTGAATAATTGGTAGTTTCTTCAGCACTTTTCCTGACTTTTAAAAAAACCTCATAAAAACTACAAACTGCATCCCTGAGGGGAAGATGAGTGCATGTAGCCCAGGCCACACTTCAGATGGGTACACTTGAGAAGTATCAGTGGCCCATTGCCAGGCATCCTCTTACCTTGCCGAGCTGGCCTGGGGCGAGTCCCTTTGGCCTTAGCTGCAAGTCTGGATTAGTGTCGTTGGAGGCTTCTCTGAGGGGGATGGCCGGGGGGGACAGTGGTGCTCAGCAGGTGGTCGCCTTAGTCCCCTCCGGCTCAGATGAAAGTACTCTTCCGAGCGGCTGGCGTATGTATACCTGGGGATTCCTGTGGTCCTGAGGAAACCAACTCCATGCCCTGGGTGCTTACAGCATTGTTGCTCCAGGAGATGGGTCCCTAGCCCGATTCGGCATTTCCTTGTTGTTTGTCTCACTGCAGACATCCCCGTCCCTGCCACTGCCTCACGTTTCCCCATGCTTCCTGCTGCTGTCACCCTTAGATATGCGAGGCCTTACAAGATCATCTCCCCGGCTTCAGGAACATTTTGGCTCAAGTTCTGTATCACGTTTGAGTAAACGGGATGCAACGAAGTACACGTTTTGTTTCATTCCTATGTCCATGGTTATGACTTACATTTTAACCCATTCCTCCTTTACTTCTCATAAACCCACTCTAACATCAGGCAGTCATTTATAAATCGACTCTCGTGTCACATAGGGTACTCTTGCGTGCTTTTCTGACATAAGCATATAACTGTCGTTTGAAGGCCCATATCATTTTGTGCCATCTACTGAATTTGTGGCAGGTAGTTCTTTAGCTTTGTATCTGTTATAATTTGTAGATTTGTGCAGCTGGGGCAGAGTCAACATAAACAAGACAAGAGCAGCCAGCAGTTCTGTTCCAGGTGCCCAGATGGAGTTATAAAATTGTAAGTACTAGATTAGACCTGTAAAAAAAAAAAAAAAAAATCTTTGTATTCATGCCATTCGGGGTGCTTTTAAGACTTTATGAGAAAGACATTGTCTTGTCCCCAAATTAGTACAAGCACTAAAGCGTCTCCTCCTGGTGTAATACCGTATCCGAGGAAAACTGGGTAGCTGTGGGGATGGGGAAAAGGTTGGGAGCCTTGCCTTGCCTTTGGAGGTGGGACTGGAGTTGGTGGGGATTTTCCTCCAGAAACTGCTCTCCAGTGGATAGCAGTGGGATGAAAAAACAGCTCTGACCCTGGAGGCAGGCTCCTCAAATTCAGTGCAAGACCCTTGAGGGCAGGAGTGGTTTGTCTTTTCTAACTCTATATCTTCACCAGTTCTGTTAACTTGCTGTTTAGTGAATAACTTGGAGTTTAGTAAATTCTTAAATAAATAGAACTAGGTTCATATCCTGACTTAACACTCTGCGACTTCTTTTTTTTTTTTTTTACCTTGAGCAAGTAACTTAAGTCCTGTGGGGCTCAGTTTCTTTATCTGCAAAATGGGTTAATGGTAGCACCTGCTTCATAGGAGGATGGTGAGGCTGAAATGAAATCATGCGTGCAAAGTGCTGAGATCAGTGTCTGGAATACGTCCTCAGTACGTTGTGATCATCACCATTGTCCCTTTCTTCTTCCTATTTGTCATTGTTCTCTGCTTGTTGGGACCAAACAAAGCAAAGGTTGTGACCAGGAGTGGCTCCTGATGCCATATGATCAGCTGAGTTTCCTCTATAAAAAGGGGTCACTGTGGTGATTAAATGAGGTAGGATATGCAAGGCATCTAGATCAGTATCTGGCACAGAGTGGACATTTAGTAAATGTTCTCTTCCCTTTTCTTGGTACAACTTTATCAGTTTGTTTAATAAATTATTTGATAGATACTGACTGCCTGACTTCTCCATGTACTACATCTGCGTGTTACTAATTGTTAAGAGGCTACTATAGTGATCCAGGCAAAGACTGGTGCCTTAGAGAATAGTGGCTGGGAGGATTTTGGAAATGGGATGAATCTAGGAAATATTAAAAAGTGAAATAGACTGGATAATGAAATAGTTGGGTATGGGGAAAAGGCCTTACCTAGGATGGCCGTTAGGTTTTTTGGAAACAATAGGTTTGATTCCTTCATTCATTTAGCAAATAGGTATTGAATACCTATTCGGACCTGTGTTAGGACCATGGACAGCTGCCATTTATCAAGGTAAGGAGCACCGTAGGAGGAACCTTGTTTGCCTTTCAAGGGGGATCAAAGTGGCCATGTTTAGGAGGCAGTTGAATCAACTGATCTGGAACTCAGAAAAGAGCCTCTGGGAATGTGAATGCATGTTGGTGATAATTAAAGCCTCTGGTTAAAGATGACACCACTTAGGAAAAGAGAATAACAGAGTGAGAAAAGGTCTACAGCTGAGTCTTGAGGGGATCTGAGTTTAACGCTGAGGAGAGAGAGACAGAGATGGCTAATCAGAGAGGGGAAGGAAAACCAAGACTGTTATATCACAGCCTCCAAAAGGGCTATTTATCCCTTCTTTCTCTCCCCTTCACTATTTTTTTTTCTCTTTTTTAAAAAACATATGAACGGGCTTCCCTGGTGGCACAGTGGTTGAGAGTCCGCCTGCCGATGCAGGGGACACGGGTTCGTGCCCCGGTCCGGGAGGATCCCACATGCCGTGGAGCGGCTGGGCCCGTGAGCCATGGCCGCTGAGCCTGCGTGTCCGGAGCCTGCGCTCTGCAACGGGAGAGGCCACAACAGTGAAAGGCCCGCGTACCACAAAACAAAAACAAAAACGAAAACAAAACATATGAACTCCTATTAACTTAGAGACAGTTTTTCTTTCGTAGATCTAATTAGCATATGGAAGTATGAGCTCCCAAATGAACTGATAAATATGTGGCCAGAGAAGGAAAGTATTTCAATGTGTTAGTAAAGTAAGAGACTCTGTTAACCAAATTATTCAAATGATTCTTCCGTTAAAATAGTATGGCACAACTTAGGAGGAGCAGGTGATGAAGTGAATATAGCATTACAAAATAAAAGGAAAACATGTTCCCACATTTCCTTCCACACTCTGTCTACTTTGATCTGTAATTGGTCTTGCTGTTAAGTTACTTTTAAATTCCTTTTCTCAAAACATTTAGTGTTTGCTTTTCTGAGTCTTAGCACAGATGAAAACCATGTGAATCTAGGATTTTTTTTAACGTTTTCCACTTAATTAGTAAAGAATCGAACATGAGTGTGTCTTGGTGCAGCATCTTCGCAGGATAACAAAGAGCTTGGTAGGCTCTGCATTATGTTGTCATGGCAACTGCCCGAGAGTGTTGTTTTTTGGTGTGTGTGCACGCGTGCTTTAAATTGAAACTGTAACTAGGTTCTTAAAATGCCAGCTCTTCAATTTTAAATTTCTAAAGCTATGCCAAAACCAAGAGAAATTAGATTTATATGAGATCCTGGAAATTCTCATCTTATTATGTTTTGGGTTCTGGTATTTTTTAAAATATATTGATAGTAAGTTTATTTTAAGTTTATATACATACATATGTATCAACTCATCTCTGGACAATTCATAATCTTACCAGTTTTTCTTGAAATTATGAGGCAAACCAATACTCCTTTTCTAAATATGAGGTATACAACAACCAATGTAAAATATATTGACAGTAAACAATAGGCAAGGAGCCAGTGGATTAGGGGCTCCTGAAACAGAGGTGCAGAAACCTGCATGGGGAGCTGGGCACGGTCACCCAAGCTCTTGCAGGACATTTCTTAGAAGCGGATGTTAAACCCCAAACTAGTCAATGTCTGCACCGGCAGCCCAAACACTCATAGCTGTATTCTGTGAGTGTGACCCTCCCTTCGATTCATGCCACTTCCTAGGTGTATGGGTGGTGATTAGGGAGAAATGACATCAGCCAACATTTCCTGAGCAGTGTGTGATGGGCACTATGCTATGTACCTTAATCTATATTAACTCAATTCTCACAGTAACTCTAGGAAGTAGGTCTTAACTATCATCTTCATTTTACAGATGGGGAAACTGAAGCACAGAGAAGTTATGTAACTTTCCCAAGGTCAAACAGCTAGCAAGTGGAGGAACAGGATTCAAACCCAGATGAGCTGGCTTTCCATCACTAAGCTATAAATGCCTAGTGTTACCAGCTGCTCTTATACCCACAGTGGTAAAAATACTGGGTTATTAGTGTGAACAACCCTCATTTTGATCTTCTGACATGATCTAGTTTGTAGGCAGCTCTGTATGCAGACATAATGTTTCAGCCCCATTGAGCTTGAAAATTGTTTTTAATATTTAAAGAGAACATACCTTTACTCTTTTCCTGGTACCCAGCATATTGTCCCAAACGTAGACATGCTTCCTGGGCAAGCATACTTTGCTTGACTCATAACATGATGTGGAGGTTGTTTAAGCCATCATGAGAACAGTGCTACTGCTATTTAGAGTTACTGTCATCCTAGTAAGTTGTAGGTTCTTAGAGGGCAGCCCATCTTTGTGTTCCCTGCTGCCTCCTGAATAGTACCTAAATTGAGTGCTCAGTAAATGTTTGTTGAAATGTACTGACTCTCACCCCCCACCCCTCCCATTACCATCAGAGCCTGCATGGGGCCCCATGAGCATCCCTAGAAACCCACCTCACCCATCCTTGAACACTTTTTAGTTCTTCCCCTATTCTATTTCCTGCTCATAAGCCCTCTGCCCTCTCGTGCCTTCTGATAGAGGAAAAAAGTAAGCACACCAAGGTTTTAGCATTTTTTCTCTGTCCTGCTTCCACTTGCACCTGTGACCAAATGCAGAATGAGAAGGGCCTGCGTGAAAGGACTCGCTGTGCCAGGGCGGGTGGGGTGCTGTGTAGCCCAGCGGTGATTTGCTGTATTCATGCCAGAGCACCCTGCCCTCATTGTACACTCCCACCAGTTCTGAGGAGTTTTTAACTAAGCAGCAAGTGCCAATCAGTGTAGGTTAAAAAGAACATGAACTCGCCTATTATTAGTGCCTGCTGTTCCATGGTTCACCTATTCTAGGAACACGTCTCACTTGTTTAAAATTACCTCTAAGAAGTGGTTCAAAATGTAATACATAGAGTTTGGGTAAAATGTGTCTAATTTAGGATTCTTTCAATGCAGGATGAGCTAAATAAGTGTGTTTACTGTTTTAGGACCCTACGGTTGAGTTTATTCCCTAAGTACATCTCACAGTAAGTAGCATTTACTGACCTTAGAGGGAATGCCCCGGGCATGGGCTTCTGCTAGGCGAAGCATTTCACAAATCAGAGCGTGCTGTGACACAGAATTAGGGCACCTTTTCACACCGATGAGGTGAGCTTGACACTAGGCCATGATTAGCTCAACTTTGTTACTTTTCACGGTTTTCAGTGATGAGTCCCTACATACAAGTCACTCTCTGGGGTTCCCCACCCCCACTCCTGCCTCATTGATTTCATCTAGTCCTCTGCAGATAGTGCTGTCTTCTCTGCTGCAGGCTAAAGAAGTATTTCTGCCTTAATGGCCTTGTTATCTTTCCCAAACACCCGGGAGTACAGTCTTTTAAGGTTTAAGGATTAGAGCAGTTGGGAGGCAGTGATCAATGATTAATCAGCTAATTCCCTCCACAGGTGGGAGATGGTAGGTGACAACAATTCCTCAGCCCAAGGAAACTAGGCTGTGACCTCTTCCCTCACCCCAGAAATTACCACAGAAGTCTTTCTTTCTCTTTGATTCTGGCCTTTACTTTTCTCTCTTTAACCCTCTCCGGCTTTTCTTATAAATACTTTTCTAATTATCTCTTTCTGCTTTCCCCTTACTCCCTATTTCTTTTACTTTTAGTTCCTCTCTTTTCCCCTCTTTTTCTTTTGCCGTTCTCTCTCCAGCCCTGCCAGGGTATTTTTAGCTCTTTTTATTTTTAAATACAGTAATCTCTCCACAACACAAATTTCCTTCCTGTATTTTCCGACAGTGCTTTTCAGATTGTAATCCTGGACTCATTAGTGGGCCATGAAATTAATTTAGTAGGCCTCCACGTAACAAAATGAAACAGAACTGAACTGAATCCAATAGAAGGCTCCAGTGCATGGCACATAGTATGGTTAATTCGTGTTTCATGAAGTTTTATTTCTATACATAAATGTAGCGTTGTGTGCCAATTTGCCATGCAAAATGCATTTCTCACTGTGGATAACAGTCACAGGTTGGATTTCTATGAATGCACCTTTTCTGAAACCACATAACTTAAAAATCTTAACTCTGTTCCTTATATCTAGGCACTTAATGAATGTTTGTTGATTGGATGAAAATGTGTGTGAACGATTCCTGTTGAGAATAACTGGGCAAAGAGAGGAGAGAGGTCACAAAGAAAAGGGGTCAGGAACAGATGAGAGGTTTCTGTGGTGTATCCAAAGTGGGTAAAATAAATGCAGGCCTTGGAAAATACACTCTTGTTACTCACAGTGAATTGAGAGCTGGGATGACTAACCAAGGGAAGGAGGTGGCAGGAAGCTACACTGAAAGTCAAAATGAAAAGCTGTTAGATGGATAAAGGAAAAACAGAAAAAAGTTGAATGCCTCTTTGTTTGAATATTGTCTACAATAGCACTATGTATACTATGTAAAACAAGAAAATTTAATGGAACAGGGTGACTTTTTTGCACCTTTCAGAGTAGGCTGTCCTGAAAGGTTTCTAGCATATAAGGAATAATAAATGGAAATTTAATTGTAGGTACTTGTGTAATTAATTTAATGTATCTAAAATGACTTTGATATTTTAAAAATTTAGTATATTGACTATTTGTTTTTGGTGACTACAGAGCATACCATTTATGGGGATTCTGTAGGTTCACACGAGGACTTGAGTACCTCCCCTTAATATGGGTTTTTCTTTTTTTCCAAGAACCTAGCTAGCACTTCTATAAGGTAAGGTATACTTACCTTCTAGGTAAGGCATTATAGGAATTAAATGACAGGTATTTATTGACTGTTCACTATGTTCCAGGTTAGGTATACGTACAGTAATACACAGTTGAGTGAGATATAGTCCCTGCCTCTGAGGGTTTACATTGACCCGGGGATGGGGGGGGGTCAGTGATTCCAGGTGTAGGAGGTGCTGTGAAGGTGTTAGCAGAGGAGGCTCTGGGGGTGCAGAGAAGAATCCAAATCAGACAGATTCCTGGGCAAGCTGACCCTCAGGCTAAATTCTAAGGGAAAAATGGAGTTGCCCGGTTGAAGAAGGCAGAGAGGGCAGAGGGTGAAGACCACACACAGCTTTTGGAGACCCATATGGAATTCTGTGTCTAGTGCAAGGGGATTGTCAGCAAGGAGGCCAGAGAGACAGACTGGCAGGAACAAGATCAGAAAGAGATGCTAAGTGAGAGAGAGTGACCCTTGTCCTAGAAGCATGTTTTAATCAGGGGAGTGATAAAGGTCACTCTGGAAATAGCATGGAGAATGGATTGGAGAGAGAGAAACAGCATATCTGTTGGAAACATCAGGACAAGAAAGTGATTGGAGTCTGCTTGCTATTGGCAGTTGAAATAAAGGGATTTATTTTGTAAAGGCAGACTCTGT